TTACCTCGGCATTCTTTGGATGAGGCCCTCTCCAAAATGGTTGTAGGCAATGGTGACCTGCATAACCTTGTCCCTGGTGTACGAGTCACTGTGCCCCAATAACATAACCTGTTTACTCACATATAAAAAGATGAACCAAAAATGGTGATGAGCGGGAAAAATTTGTTAAATAAACATGCACACGAACGCAAACGCACACACAGAACCGACCTCATTGTGATGAGTGAAATAATTATTGGAAATGGTAATTGCCGTGGAGCCCATGATGGCATCGATGAGCCCATCCGCGCAGCTCGACAGGGAATTATGATCGATCCAAATATGGGTCGACCCGAATATGGATATCCCGTCCCCATCAGCGATGGTCCTCCAGCCATAGTGACTCGGAGAGCTGCGCACCATAGCATTCCCCGTTGGCTTGCAGTCGTGGATATGAAGGCCGTGGATGATGATGTTGGTGACGAACTGTATAGTGATGCATGCCCCATTGGCAATGTGGACGTTGGCCCCACGCGCATCGATTGTCTTGAAGCTGTTCATGATGAGCTCCTGCTTGAGGGTGATGACCATGTCCCGTTTGAAGACGATCCACAAGGGTTGGTCCTGGATGACTGCGTGGCGAAGGGTGCCTGGGCGGGGATTCACGGCGTCGTCGTCCCCTGGGTCTGTAACCACGTAGTAGCGCCCGTCGCGCCCGCCGACGGCGTTGCGACCGAAGCCGATGGCACAGTCGGCAAGTCGGCGGCGGTTGCGCATCCAGTTGCGGTCGCAGCGCCAGCAATCATCGATAGGGTTCCCTGTCCCGCAAGAGAAGAATCCTAGGTTGCGACGACTGCTGCTGCTGTTGCTGTTGCGAATGGCTCTGGGAAAATTAATTAATTGTTCAAATAACAAACTATGTCCAATACGGCAAGTGTTTTTAATTATAAGTTTGTTTAGGTGTGTGTGTGTGTTCTAGCTATTACTTTTGGTTTTTTTTTTTTTGGTAAAATTAGTTATTGTCAAGCATCACATTTTATGAATGATTGATTCATTGTTTTGATTATCATTTGTTGCATAGACAAAAGCTTGTGCTTCATGGGAAGTAGATGGAGTTGTTGAAAATCTTAAAGTGTCATCATGTTTTTCTTGGCTTCATGTTAGATGGTCAAGTAATGGATGAGTCTTGGGAGAGAAGTTGGTGTGGGGCAAACAACATTAGATGAGTAACATGAGTTGAGGCTGCAAACAAAGTGGTAAAAAGTGTATAATAGGTATAGTATTTAATAACAACAATAATAATAATAAAGTAATAGTAATACGGAGGTCTATACGGAAACAAGTACCAACCTTGTGGGCATAACATACAGTTGGAAGAAATAAATGCTGGGGAGTTGGGGTTGGGATATTAAATTGTATGTTGGGAGGCGTCGGTGACTAGGCAGAGGGGTCTCATTTAATTTTGAACCAAATAGGGTGACGTGGCAGAGAGCTAAAATAAAACACAGTACACGGATCCCATAACAGGGGCACGTGCTTTAGCTGGCCATGCCAAATATTAGCCAAACTCTATCCCATGTTAAGGGGTTTGGCGCTAACAGTATCATCAATAAATAAAATTATAAATAAATCAGCACAAATTAATAAAATCAAATGCTGCATCTAACAAGTCGTTATGCAGTAACCATAAATTATTACATTTATTATTCCACAAATGGTCCTTTCATGTGGCATGTGCTTATATGCAAATTCCACAGGACAGTTCCATGTTATGTAAAAACAGACTCATTAAATATTTTATTATACAAATTGAGAAAGGGACATATTTTATTTTTTGGGTACTGTAGGTAATAATATATTATACTTGGCATTTAATTCTTTTGCTGGAGATGATGTACGGAACATGTGAGGGATCCCTTTTGGGTTTTCTCTATAATGCTCAATTATAAGATCATTAATTCGAAACATAACACATCACATGTACTTCTGGGAGATTAATGTATTTTTAATTGAGGGGCTATTGCAAATCGGTTGTGTTAAGTAATTATGGTTACTGAGATTTAGATACAAAACTAGAAATTGACAAGTAAAAAGGTTATAAGGAACATACATTTCGACCATGGCAGCTACAGCTTCTGGATCATCTACTGCTGCATGTTCAGACTCATATTCTTGTGATCTGTTAATATGATCAACATACATTCGTTACACTTCAAATTTTTGTGAATAAAATACAGACAAAAATAATAAAACACGAGATGGACTGGAGTAGCAAATGAAGAGCATGACCTGCCAATACTACTAGTCCACTATAAACAAAAATGTAATTTCAATGAATCCTAGGGGTAATTCAGTAAATAGCAAAAATTTACTGTCACGCGATTTTAATTGTGGTGGTGGCCGGCGAAATGTTTAAGTGCAACAGAAAATACTGACACCACCACTTCATAGATCCAATCACGAAAATCGGTTTGTAAACATATAGAATTTCTCTATTAAGTAAATTTAAATGCATTAAAAAGGCCTAAATGCAGGGGATTATACATAATTTTGATCACTAGAAATTAACCTATATACATTAATTAATGCGGAGATGCTGGAAAACAAATAAGTGCTGGTCGTTAGTTACTTACCTTTCCGCCATTGTTAAGTTTCTCAAGCTCTTCAGCTGAGTGCTTTCTTCAGCGCTGTAAAAATCACCACAGGGCCCATTTTAAAAATAACGATAATTAGGCGACAGNAAAAGCTCTGTATCGCTGATAAATTCACATCTCTGGAGATTTCCGCTGGCTGAGGTTGATTTGATAACATCACCTCCATTTTCATGTAACTAATAAAACTAACAGAATCATTAATCAAATTCGTAATCCAAAGAAGTAAATATGAGTCTCATCTTCAAAGATTCAGGCAGTTTCACTTTCAGCTTGCGTATAAACAGAGGAGCCTCCAGAAGAGAATGGAAATTAAAACAAAACGACGCTGCTAACAGCCCCAACTTCAAAACGGTTCAAAATGTGACCAAAATTTACCTCTCTATAGCAGAAATTGCACTGGCGAACAACACTGTAATAAACACTGCAAAAACAACACTTCTCATAATAGAAACGGCCATTGTTATTGGCCACAGAAAAATGAATTTTCTTTCCTATGAATACAATGTATTTATATGTGTGTGTGTGTGTGGGAGATGAAGGCAAATGTGGAAAAGATTTTTTTTTCTGCCTATCCAAGGAAATGCTGAATGCGAGAACCTCATTTATAATAAGAGGAGAAAAGAGGGAAGGAGGACATTTTAGCGCGGGGTTTAAGTTGGTACACATGGTTAATGCGCACTTTGTTAATGGCATGTTTTTCTGTATTATTATGATTATCTACTTTTCCAAATGAATCTATATTTATATTAAAAGGTATACCATTTACTAGATTTAGTATAAAGAAAAGTCAACAACATTTATTACATTACTATTTCCGTATTATACAATCTATATTTATATAAAAGAAGATTCTATTTACTACATTTACTATCTAAAAAAGTCAACTACATTAAATGTCATTACTATTTTGGTATTATAATATTTTATTTTTTTAATTGATTTATTTATTTGTTTTATTTTAAAAAGGTAAGTATAATAAAAAGATTTTAATAATAAAAAAATCAAATACCAAATAAAAATGTACACTTTGACTTATTTGATTATATTTGGTATTTGATTATACCAAATATATTCCTATTTAGTATATACATTAAATACTTACTAAAGTATTTATTTGTTTTATTTGTCAAAGTTAAGTATAGATTTGTTTATATTATCAAATCATAAAAAAGTATTAAATCCATATTGTAAAAAAAATAAAAAAATCATATAATTTTATAACAATTCTACTACACTATTTAACAATATTTTTTTATTTATATAATAAAATAATAATTAAATATTATATGGTGAACAACAATAAGTAAAACTGTTACTTTCTCTTATATCAAGGGATAAATTTATATGCTAAAATTAAATTTTTATTAGTATAAATGTTTTAGTGAGATAATATATTAATTATTTTACAAGCTAGCCCTAACATGCTCATATTTAATGTTTTAAAAGATGTAGAAAAAAATTTATAATAACTCTATTGTTTTTTAGACTTAAACGTTGATTAAAAGAGATAAAAAATTCCTAATTTTTTAGAATTAAACGTTGATTACCACCATAGATTGAGAGTTTATATTTAGTAAAATTCTTAATTGTAATAAAAAAATTAATTTTTGCTATATTTTAGAATATCTTAAAATTCATTATAAAAAAAAAAGAAAAAAAAACTACAATGAAAAAAGCAAGTCAGCTATATATCGATTTTTTGTACTCCTCAAATCACATTCACAATTTGGCTACAAGGAAAGAAAACTCATTGATTAAATATTATTTTGTCAATAGTCTTAATGTACAAGAGACTTTAAGACTCCACTTGAATATTATAAAACTTTTATTGAACATTGTATAATTTTCTTGCGTATTATAAACTTTTATTGAATATTGCATCTTATAATATAATATTCTCTAAATAAATATATCTCGTGCTTCGCACGGGTCACGTACTATATATATCCCATACATTTTTCTTTATTCATGTATATAATTATAAGCCTGGATAAATAGCCTTAAAATTGTGCACCCCGTGCATCGCACGTGCTCTGTACTAGTAGTGCATAATCCACGGGTGAATAAATTTAAGGCTATTTATTCAATCTTATTATTATATGCGTGAATAAAGAAAATTAAATATACTTCCTACTATTTTTAATAAATGTCGTTTTGAGAAGTTGCACAATAATTAAGAATATTTTTTTTGCCAATAATAACCCTCATTAATGAGGATAAAGATTGATGTTTTGAGAAAAGATGGAGAGTGAATATGAAAAGACGTAGCGTATTTATTAGTTAGATGAGGGTAATGATGGAAAAATATGTACAAAATAGCCAAAACCATATTTATTTAACAAATGATCAATTAAGCTAGGATGACAAATAATAAAATAAGAGAGAGTATAAAATAATAAATAATTTTACATGTTTTTAAAAACTTTTTACACAATATTATTTTGCCTTCTAGATATACTATTCTCCTTGCAAACTAATGTTTTTAAGTTTTTTCGATTAGTGACACGAGAAATCACTAAAATAAAGGTACTTTAAAGTTGAAAAGTGATAGAGTCATCCGAGTTATAAACACATTTTCTCTTGCATTAGATCTAGTCAATACTTTACATTAGTTTCTCAAAAATTGAAATAAAAACTGAGACCCACGCCTAAAAACAATTTATCGGTATGCACATTTCATACAAAAAGTATACCATTTATTGGTTAGTTTCTAAAAAAAAAACAATCCTACCCAAAAAAAATCCATGAAATAATCCATATAAATTCACCCACTTTATATCACATATGGATTAATTTATTTCCCATATAAACGACCACCAAATTTCAAAAATAAATTCGTTTACTTTATATCATATATTGATTAATTTATTTTCCATAAAACAACAATGAAACACGAAAAATAAATATGTCCTCTTTATACTATATACTAGTGCGTGGCCCGTGCGATGCACGGAAAAACAATATTATGATTGTATTACAAATTAAATTTATAAATAATATTAATCATAATTTATCCATTGTTTTTAAATTAAACTGGGTTGGACACAGTCCGACCGGATGGACCGAGAATCAGTTTATAACCAGTCTCGTTTGCTTGAATAAAATATTTGCTCTTATCCGTCAACACCAGTCGGTTAGACTGGTAAGATCGATACGATTTTCTAAATAAATTTTGTTATATTTAAATTTTTTTTAAATAAAATTACATAGATTTGTAAATTATTTATCAATTAGTTTAAACATTTGAATTTATAAATTGTTTAGATATCTAAGTAACACATTTTATTTAAATTTATTACAAAAAGTAATATATATATATATATATATATATATATATATATATATATATATATATATATATATATATATATATATATATATATATATATATATATATATATATATATATATATATATATATATATATATATATATATATATATATATATATATATATATATATATATATATATATATATATATATATATATATATATATATATATATATATATATATATATATATATATATATATATATATATATATATATATATATATATATATATATATATATATATATATATATATATATATATATATATATATATATATATATATATATATATATATATATATATATATATATATATATATATATATATATATATATATATATATATATATATATATATATATATATATTAAGATGCTTATAAATTAAAATTTGAACAACCCACAAATGATTTAATCAAATATTTTGATGGTTCTGATGACGGTCTAGTTCTAAAACCTTATATGACTGTACATTAATAAATATTATAATAAAATATTACTTAATTCACATAAATATTAATAAAATGGTATATAAATATTCATAAATCATTAAACATGTTGTCATAAAAGTATTGTTAATACGATTATTTGATGTTTGGACTACATCACATTCATGTAATAAAATATTTTCGCTATAAAATTTATATTTAGGTTCAATAATCGATTTGGTGTGGTCAAACTGATACATAACTTAGTCATCTGGGACCAACCAAGTTGTGTCAAGTTTTTCTGACTATTTTAAATATCACCTAAAAGTAATTTAATCAACTTGCGCAGTACCATAATTCAATCACTCGATTGATCCAAAGAAATTTTCTTATTTTCTTTAAATATATTTACTTTTATGAAATAAAAATATTTTATAATTCTTATAATAAATGTCTACACCAAATAATAGTATATTAAGATTGTAAATTATATATCTAAAGATGAATTAATTATTTTTACTTATGCATATTAATAAAAAATAAATATAGTACTTTTCCAAAAATTAAGATTAATTGATTAATTATGCAATTTAAAAAATATTTTTAGCGTTCAATATTTTTTTTAAAAGCACAGATATAAAGACCGAGATTCTAAAATTTTTGTTATATTTTGAATTGAGATTTTATAAATATAGAGACCGATATTTTAATGATATTCGTTGTTTTTAAGAATAAAAATAAAAATAAAAACATACAGACTTAATAAATCTTAGCCGGATTTTTTAAATAATAAAATGAACTAACGCCCGAAATTTAAGGTAGCATTTAATGCTGTATGATTTTTAAAGAAAAAAATAAGAAAAATAATAAAACTTACTATTTATAGGTTGCATTAAATTCTGACATATTTTTTTGCTACTGTTTTTGGTAAATGGTAATTCTTATTATATATATATATAGGGGATGGATCCAATGAGACCACTCCTTAAAATGAGTACGTGAGACTCAATGTTAGCCACTCATTTTGTCTAGATCAAAATCAATTAAAATATACATTAATAAAATAATAAAATAGTTGACCGTTGACTCCGGCGTTGACCGTTGACTTCCGGCGTTGACTTCCGGTGTTGACCGTTGACTTCCGGCGTTGACCCGTTGTATTAAAATAAATAACCTAGCAACAAAACACACTCAACCTTGAGTAGTGTAGTGGTTGCATTGCTTGTCTTGCGTCCATGAGGTACCAGGTTCAAATCCTATGGGTTACAATTTTTTTATAAAAAAAAAAATACAACTAACTTAGCAACATCAGACAACTAACCTAGCAACAAAACACAACTAACTTAGCAGCATCAGACAACTAACCTAGCAACAAAACACAACTAACC